GCCTGACACCCCGAAGCTGCCTCGAGCTCCGCTCCCAGGGACTGTGGGTGCCCAGGCGCTGCCAGTCTGCAGAGAACTTGGCAGATGCGTGGTCCGCGCTGCCAGGGCGGAGGCTGGGCCTGGGCCATGCGCCTTCCGGGGCAGGTGTGAGCGACGCCCGCCCCAGGCCAGGTGCAGGGGGACACCTGCCTCGCGACGCAGAGGCCGGGCTGTGGCCTGGACGGAGGACGCTTCCTCTCGGTCCTTGTGGCAGACGCCGCCCGCCCTTGCCTGCGCTGCAGGGCGACTGCAGAGTGGACGGGGGTGTGGGTACCCCGGACCTGGAAGCACAGGGCTTCTGAGACCCACCGCCCTTCTCTCCCCAGAGCCCCCAGCTGGTCGTCATCATCGTGGTGTCCTTGCTGCTCATCTTGTTTGTGACAGCCGTCGTGCTGTGCTTTGTCTGTGGCCACCAGTGTCTCCACAGCCGGACAGGCAACCACTGGGTGCAAGATGGCTGGAGGAACCTGCGGGGGCCCCACCGGGAACATCCTGTGTGAGCGCAGCGCCCACGGAACTGGACCGTGGCTCCCGGGCTGTGGTCCAGCTCCAGCTGAAGGACGGTGACAAGCAGCAGAGGACTCTGGGGACTCACTTTCTAGCTCAAATACAAACCCCTGGACTTAGCCCCGAGCCGCAGTGTCCCCCTGAGGCAACACTCACGGGCCAGGAAGCGGACCCCTGGGCCTGGACTTCTCTCCCTCCCCCACTGCCAGAGCCCAGGCCCTGGGGTACCCCGATGCTGAGCAGCTGGGGAACCAGACCCCGCCTTTGTGGGGCCCTGAGTGCCTAATCGCTTCTGGAGGAAGGAGGGGGACACGCCCCGGCTTGGCAGGGCAGAGAGACGCTGTACCCACATGGCCCTTCCGGGACTTCAGCCCCACCTGGTCTGAGCAGGACACGGCCCTGACTTCTCCTTTCTGCCAACGGAGTTAGCTTCCTGGGTTGAGGGGCCTGAGGGAGCCGGCTCAGCTCCAGGACCCTCCCAGCCAGGCCTCTTCATTACTCTGGGCCTTCAGAGCAAACGGAGGCCCAACGGAGACCCCACAGCCCTGGCCATGCCAGAGACAGGGAGAGAGGGGTGGGGAGGGTGGGCCCTGGTGCCCAGGCCTCCCCCTGCCCAGGCAGGAAACAGTGGGCAGAGCGGGCGCTCACGGGCCTCGGGCCTGGGCGGTGCTCTGCGGGCTCCTGCTCCAGAGCAGAGCAGGCCAGTGCGAGGGGCTCATTCACTGGGGCTGGGGAGTGGGTGGGGCTGGCGGGGGCTGGTGGGGCGGAAGGGCTGCCAGGCACGGGTGTAGAGTCAGCAGGGACTAGAGGGCACGTGGGGCTGTCTCTGGCCTGCAGTGAAGCCTGCGCGGTCCTCAGGGTAAGCTCTCAGCATCATAGTAGTCTGCGGGGAGAGTGCACCTCATGGGACTCCCTCCTGCCTCGGGGACCCCAAAGAGGGAAAGGGGAGGGGATAGCCCAGCTGCCTATGGCGGTGGCAGTAGGAGCCCCCCAGGCCCAGGAAACATGACCCCCCGGGCTCCTGATTACCCCTCGGCTGGGCCCCCACTGCCAGGCACCCAAGCCCACCTGAAGCCGGAGGTATATCTGCACCCACAGTCCCTGTGGCACTGGGTGGTGGGGGCGGGGGCACAGCTCTCCTGAGATGAGGAAGAGAAAAGAAAGCCCCCCATCTGAGATGGCCTCCAGGGGTTCACCCTCGGGTATCTCCAGCCCCTGACCAGCTTATCCAGCCCAGCCCAGGTCAGGACAGACCCCCAGCCGCACTTACGCGCCCCTTTTCCCAAAGGCAGGAGGGCAGGGCTGAGTCCTGGTCATGTCCTGCACGTGGGGCTGGTGTGGGGCGGGGGCAGGAAAGAGGCCGGCCAGGGTGGTAGGGCGCCCAGAGCGGGCAGCGGGCAGGGCACGTAGTGGTGGTGGAACACCAGGGGCCCTTCCTCCTGGGCCTCCAGCAGCTCCTCCGCCTCACTCTCCTCCTGGCCCTCCAGGTAGACCTGGGACAGCGCAGAGGGGAGGGGAGATGATAATGTTTGGCTCCCCAAACCCCATCCTCCAGCCTCCTAAACTTTATCCCCAGATGCCATCCCAACCGGCTGCTGTGAGTGGCGCAGTGACTGCATGCAGCGAGGCACTCCGGAGACATTTAGTCCTTATTTTGCAGGTGGGGAAAACTGAGGTTCAGAGAGGTTGAGCAACTTGTCTAAGGTCACCCAGCTAATACGTGGCAGAGCCAGGATTGGAGGAATCCTGGGGTGACTCCCAGTGACTGATGGGGAGTCTGGTGAACTGCCCCTGACGGCAACCCAGGCCTGGAGCCAGTGGGCTGGGGCGCTCATCTCAAGGGCTGCGCAGTGGATACATTGCCAGCTTCCTCCGACCTCCAAATCCTCCCTGGACTTCAAGGATGTTTGTAAGTCTCCTCCGAGGAGCCTCTCCTCTTTCCCCAATCACTGTGCACCCACACTTTCACCTTTTATCTCTTCATGTGCCAGTCACAGGCCCAGTTGCCTTGTATTCTGACTCCTTTACTCATCCCCATGTTCACCTTAATAAGCGTCAGACCTGCAGGTGCCATGGTGCAATGGACCTGCCAGTCCAGGGGCCTGCAGTCCCGTGGGAATCCTCCTTGGAACGAAGGTCTGGGTGGTCTGGATTTGGGGACCCTCCCCCAACTGAGGAGAGCTGGCATATAGTTGGTGTCACACCCAGCCAAGGTGTGGCTGGCTTCCTGCTCCTCTGCGCTTGGTCCTTTTTCTCCAGGAAGGGGTCCCTACTCTAGCCCCAGCCCACGTACCTGAGGCCAAGGGGGCGCCGGCCCGGGGCCGAGCGCTGAGGCCACCAGGCCGCCCAGCAGCAGCTGGTGCATCTGCGCGTTCTGCAGCATCATCAGCTCCAGCAGGTCTAGGAGGGGGTTCAGCAGGCCTGCCAGACACCGCCCCCAGGCCCCACACCAGAGGCTTCCCTATTACACCCAGCCCCCTGGGAGCAGAAGGTGGGGTGCAATGTGGACGCCCAGAGAATGTGCAGGGCAGAGAGGAGAAAAAGGGGCTGAGTCCTGAGTTTCACCTTCCTTCATGCGGCCTGGCTGCTGGGGTGGCGGGGGTCGGCCCAGGAGAGGGCTGCAGGATGGTCACCCAAGGCTAGAGGAGCGGGAGACAGACTGATCCAGGCCAGGCTGAGAAGGGGCTGGGTGGGGGTTGCAGACGGGTTATGAAGTTAAGGGCCTGTTTTTGTACCCCCTGTACAGTTTTGTGATTCCGCTGGTGGATGGTGGCATCTTGCTGTTGAGCCAACTACAGATAAAGGTAGTTTCAGGTTCGGAGCCCAGTTCATCTTAAAGGCGGGACGACCACCCTCGCTGCGGGAGGGGCTCCTCGGCTGTCCCCGGGGTAGGGGTCTGGATGGGGTGGTGGGGGGAGCCGCCGTGGGGGGAGCAGTGGGGGCCCAGCAGGGGCTGGAACATCTTCCTTGGTGTTTGTGAGAACAAGTTCTTCGGAACACTGCAGGGCATCCCTGAAGACTTATTGGGGCTGAATTCCAGGAAGGGAGGCCGGGGCGAGACGGGTGAGATCTGGGCTCCAGCCGTTTGGGGCCTAGGGGTTGAGTCTCAGCAGCATCACCACTGTGGCCTGAGTCCCATCCCCGGCCAGGGAGCTGCCCACATGGCGCAGCAGACCTCTCCTGTCTCCCCGCAGCTCCCCTCAGCAGTGGATTTCAGTGGTTCCGCCGTTCTGTTCCCCACTCTGTCTCTGGTGAATCCTCTCACCATCCCGCGCATCTGGCCTGTACCCCAGATCTTCTATGCTAAGAGAAAAAAAAACCCTGGGGGCCTTGGCCAGCACCCTGAGGGAAACCCACCACCTGAGCATGAGAAGCACGTGCCTCTCCCCACATGCCAGGAATGAGCTGGGCAGCCCTGTGGTTAGCCTGCTCCTCCCGACACACCCAGCTCCTCCTCTTCTCCTCCCCCCCATACTCTGTGAGTGGAGGCCCTACTTCTCCTGCATCAGAAAGGGGCCCTCTGGGAGGATGTCAAAAGACCTATGAGCCCCGGGACAGCTCATGGTGCTGGGACCGGCGTGTGCAAGGCCGGGCCCTGAGGACCTGGACACCAGCTACGGGGCCTCATCAGTGACGTGTCAAGGCGCTGGCCTTGCTCTCTGCTCCAGAGGATTTATGCTGGAATGGGGCTGCAGGGTCAGCAGGCTGCTCTGGCTCCAGGAACTTGAGCTGCCCAGCAGCCCCAAGAGGCTTTCCAGACGGTGGGTGCTGGGTCCCTGGAGGCGGCCAGAGGGGAGGGTCTCCTGACAGACTAGGAAGAAATTCCTCCTTGGGTCAGAGGTGAGACTCTCCCAACTAAGCTTGATAACTGTGGCCCTCCCCACCCTGTGATAGTTCCGGGAATAGGAAAAGGCGGCCTGAGCAGGTGTGACTCACAGGAAGTGGGAGGGTGGTGCTTGCCTGGAAAGCAGAAGCACAGTGCGGGTGGAGTGGGGCCCCCAGGAAGCTGCCCGATGTGGTTCATGTTCAGATGCACAGCACTGAGAGGTGGCTGGTGCCGGGGGACGGAGCAGGCCCCAGTATGGTTTCTGGCCTCTGGCTGGGGCCCAAGAAGTGCACCAAGTGGCGGCCTAGCATGAGGCAAGATCTCTGCCCCCCTCCTTGCAGGCTGAATTCTAGATGTGGAGTGGACGGCGGGTCCAGTTATCTGGGGCCGCCCAACAGCAGGAGCACGCAAACTGCAGCGACTCCCAACAGCCACTGTTCCCTCACGGTTCTGTGGAGCAGCTGGTGGTTTTGGCTTGAGAAAAACTCGAGTTCAAGGTCTTTTGAGGCACAGACTTTGGAACTTGTCAACAGCATTTCTGCTGAGTTTGCTGATCTACACAAGTTACCAGAAGTGCCCAGATTCAAGAGATAGAGAAATAGAGGCCATATTTCTCCATCTACACGGGGAGAAATTATATATATATATATATAAATATACACAGTTTATGGACTAGACCCTAACTTTCCCCCATTTAACTGGAGATGTCACCCTCATCACAGACTAACAAAATTCTGGCATAGCAAAAATACAATTCATGGGGGAAATGATTTAATGAAGAGGGAGATTTCATTTGGGTCAAAAGAGTAACTGACAAGAAATATCAGTCATGAACCTTTATGCACCTACTAATGTTGTAGAGCAACCCCAATACAAAATGGGGTGCCTGACTGTGGGTCCTCACCCGCGCGCTTAAAAGGACTTATCAATGCTCTACTGCAGGCACACGTGAAAGGTTAATAAAAGGTTTATTTACAAGGGAAGGGGAAATGAGGAAATGTACAGCTCAGGCAGAAAAGTGGGAGACATAAAGTTTTAAATGAGTCCCACCCGATCCGCCGATCAGGAATCCCAAAATGGCGCTCTGAGAGCTGGCCGCCAGCCAGGAGCGGTGAAGCCAGGAGGTGAGCGATCGCGAGCCAGAGAGAGCCCAACGCCCACGTGTTTGGTTTTTTATATCCAACCTGGCTGCCCAACTCCACCCTCAGGTCCCAGCCACCCTCCCTTGGTGGTGATGGGATTTGTCTTTCCCAGAGTCTTGATGGCTTTAGTCTGGAGTGGGGGTGGAGTCCACAAAGTTAATCCTGTATGGGATTAACTCAGGACATCACTTCCCCCTAACAATTACACACAATCTTGTTTATCTCTCAAGATTTTTGCCTGTGTTTTCTCTCATAAACCAAAGAGCCGCACTTGGTATCTTTCCTAAAGAAAGTTTCTTTTCCCATCTGGGCAGCTGGTGGTACCTCCACAACTGTTTTTTCTGTTTTGTTGTTTTTCAAAGATTTATTTATTTATCTACACAAGCACTGGGTACAGTGAGAAGTGTGGGAGGGTGAGAGAATTCACCAGAGCCAGAGCGGGGAGCAGAACAGGCAGACTGACGAAATACGCTGCTGAGGGGAGCAGTGGGCGTGGCAGGAGAGGTCTGTCACACCATGTGGGACCCTCGCTGGTGGCCGGGGATCGAACCAGCGCTGCAGAGGCTGCGGGCAGCTTCACAGCCCAGTGCTCAACGGCTGCGCCACCTGGGGAGGCCCTCCACACCTGTTTTCCAAGAGGAGGCCCCCTCCCTTCTGGGAGACAGCCTCAGCCTATCTCCCCTCAGTCTTTTGGCTGTTGGACATTTGTGGATAAATTTGCTGCGTGGACAAAGATCGCCCCTCCTTAAAAACAGACGCGCGGGAGCCCAGCTCCTTCCAAACCTGCTGTGCTCAGAGGGAATGTGTTTACCTCTGCCAGGACCATCTCTCAGGCACAGGCAGGACACTCGCTCCCATGGGCCGCCAGATGGCGCCCGTGTGCAGCCCTGGTCCTCCTGGCCCCCATGGTCCAGGCTGATCTGGCTCATCTGCTAACTATGTCTCCTCTCCACTCCCCAGGTGGCTCCATGGGGGACGAGGCTGGGATCCAGAATAAAGTCCAGCGCGATCTGGTCCTATAAATAGCTCAACTCCTTTGTGAGCCAGTCATTTCTAAGTAATGCGTAGTCACAGGATTTTCACATTCAAGGATGAACACAGAGCAGCACATCCAGGCCCCTCCCCTTTGGGATGAGATTCAGGTCTGACGTCCTGTTGAGCCAAACCACAGGCGAGGCTCACACTGAGGTGTCCTCGAGCACAGCCCACAAGGACACAACGAGGGCATGTCCAGGCACCAGTTGTCACGACCTCCAGAAACTCGGTTAAATGCTTACTGTGTCCAGGCTCCGAGTCCGTGTCTTAGAAGTGATTATACCACCCAGAGCCTTCGAGGGGGTCTCTGAGTGGGATTGGGGCCTCAGAGGTCAGATGTGGGACCCCAGTGCCCTGGGGGTTCGGCCTCTTGCTGCCCCATGCCTGTTCAACCACCATTTAGCACAAGAGAAACGTTGACTGTTATTATTACCCCCATTTCACAGATGAGCAAACTGAGGCCCAGAGCTAGGCAACTTGCTCAAGGTCACAGAACCGTCAAAGGATTGAGCAGGGATTCAAATCAGGTCCTTGGGACCTCTGCAGGCCGACCCAAGGTCTCTCTCGTTCCGTCTATAAGCCAGCGAGCCTGCAGCCTGTGAGCCACCAGCCTTCCCAGGCCCTGTCAGCATTTCTGCTCTGAATCTCTGGCTTCTACTTGTAGCGGAGATTCCTTTGACTTTATTATTATTTTTTTAAGATTATTTATTTATACAAGAAACCGGGCTACAGGCCACATGCACGGGATGGTGAGAGGATTCACCAGAGACGAGTGGGGAATAGAACAGGCAGACTGACTGAAGCAGTGGGCAAGACAGGAGAGGTCTGCTGCGCCATGTGGGACCCTCGCCGGCTGGCCAGGATCGAACCTGTGCTGCAGAGGCTTCAGACAGCCTCACAGCGCTGCGCTCAACCGCCTGCGCCGCCAGGGGAGGCCCTCCCTTGACTTTATTTAAACTGAAAACACTTGCTCATTCTTGCTGAAACAGGGGCCCAGGCCAAGCATCTGCATCACCTGGGAACTTGGCATATTCTCAGCCCTGCCCAGGTCCTCTGAGTCAGCGCGCTGGGGCGGGGCTCCCATGCATGCTGGCACCTGCTGGCGTTGGAGGACATGGCTGTGAAACGCCAGTGTCATAGAGCCTTGCGGCCTGGTTCATCCAGCCCAGTAAACAGCGGCTGCACGTGCTCTTCTAGGTTCAAAGAGGAAGTCACAGAAACTTCGCAGAAAAGGGAAGGAAATAAACACACAGGGCAGGTGAGCCGGCCAGAACTCACAACATGGAGGAGGAGGAAAGACAGGGGCACCTGCCCAAATAATGCACCAGAACTGCGGGGCAGGCGGGGCTCCAACAGGACGGGTGAGGGGTGGTGGGCCCGACGCCTGTCTTGCTAGAAGCTGCGTGGATGCCCCACTCTGGGAGAGGCCTTCCGGGACGGCCCCGCCAACCAAGCACAGCTTCCCGCTGGAGGGTGATGCTGCTGGCCCCCCAAGAGGCTGCTTCTGAGGAGGTCCCTGCCCGCCCCTCCCTCTCACTGACTGTTGGGGTTTGCAGGTGACTGTGGCTGCCTCCTCACGCACCCTCCGTGCTCCCTGCCCTCAGCTGACCCTGCCTCCAAATGCACCAACTGGCCCCTGGTTTCTGCTCGCTCTGCCACCTTTCTGCTCTTCCCCCCGTGTTCAGGTCTCAGCGTCGTGCCCTGTGGACTCACCTGGAGAGTTGAACAAACACAGACGTGCACCCATCCATGTGCACAGACACGGACACACACAAGAGGCTGCCATCGAGTTCTACAGTATTTGAGACACGCTAAATGTATCTGAAATTCAGATTTAACTGGTATCCTGGAGATCCGGAGTTCCTGCCCACTTCCTGAGCCCCTGCCCTCGTTGTGCCCCCCACAAAAGCAGGCTTGTGTCCCCAAGGACACCCCTGCTCAGCCAGCAGGAGGGGCTCAGGGCCTCCCTCCCTCCCCAGCTCCAGGTGACCACAGACCTGGCCCAGCAGGCACTGTGCACCGAGGCCGGTTGGGCCCTGGCAGCCCTCCAGGGGACCCTGCCACCACCCCTGCCCACTCCTCCATCCTCCACCCTCACCCCCTGGCACCTGCACCACCAAATGCACATCACGTGCACGCATGCACACATGTGCACACACACACACACAGAGCAAGGAGAGCCCTGAAGGGTCTATGACGCCAGCCTTGGGGCAGCCATTTGGCCAGGGAGGTGAGGTCAAGTAAGAGGATGGAAGCACCCCAGAAACCCGTCTAATGCAGAGAAAGAAGGGGTCCCCTCAAAAGAAGGCAAGTCCAGACATGCCTCCTGGGGAAATTCTGTGTCTTCAACAGATGTCCTCGGAGTGTTCCAGGGCAGGGAGAGGGGCAGCCCAGAGCCCCCAAACCTGCCCGCTCTAAATAGGTTCTGCCACCCGCCGCGTCGACACAAAGCATATGAGACTTTAATGGGAAGGAGCTTTAATACAGTTAGTAAGCAACGCAGAAAAGACAATACAGTTTCTAAATCAAGCACCCAAGTGACCTGTCCTCTCGTGGGTAA